TATACTACTCTTTTGATTAAAGCGAAATTGAATAAAAACAATTAAATGATCAATTTTATTACATTTTATGTAACTTAGATAAACTTATAATCAATAGAGACAGTGGCTTCAAATCTTTTTTTTATCCATGTCATAAATCTCTTCCTTAACTGTTGCAATATATTTTTTTAGCATCAAGAAATAAGAACTGAAAGCACTGTTTCTATTGAGTAAGTTTATAAAAGATATATAAAATAAAATAAAATTCAAATTTTGACACTTAGGAAGCGAAGAAGATGTAAGATGTAGGTTATCATTTTTTTTTATTAAAAAGAAGATAGTTATAGTTTTATTTAAATATATACTCATTAACTTCATAATGTTTGACAATCATTTTATAATCTCATCTGGGTCATGAATTTCAACCAGTATTGACATGGAGGTACCTTTTATTACTGCCTACAAGCTCCTTCAGTTCCTGTAATGCTGCAAAGCCTCTTCTCTTTTAAAATGCATGAAAATTCTTAGTTTTCGCTTTCGCGAAAGGGTTCACTGGAGACAAAAGTACTTGAAAATGTTATCAGTGACAAAATATATTGGCGTACCTTAATCGTATATCAGCATATAATTTTATTATATTTCTGAACAAATATGAAAAACTTAAATTGTGACATCATAATAATTTGATCACCCACTGTATGTAGTAAAAACAGCTGGTTTGCGTTTGAACAATAATATATAGTAGTATTGTAGGTATACATTGATATGAACGGAGTTTCAGAATAAGTGTGGGTGCAATATTCATAGATAAGTATTATTTTCAAATTTTTTAAACTACAGTTTTTCTTTTATGTTGTAAACAAGATACTTTGTGGAATATTTGTTTTTTTTTTTCAGATTGAAAATGTTTGCAGCTAATGAAGAAACCAATTAACAAATGTTTGAAATTAAATTTTTAAATTTTGGCTAAATTGCTGCAAGAAAATCTTGTATTTATACATGAAGTAATTAGAAAAGTGAAATTTTAAAATTTGCGTACCCAATGTCTACAGTGCACTGTTGAATAATTTTACTTCTTTGGGCTTTTAAAAGTAATATAAAATTTTAGTAGTAATATTACAATCTTAATATTTTCTCATATTTTTTAAGTGGATTAGAAAATAAATTATCAAATATAATTATTATAAATTATATAAATTAGAAAAATATGTAGTTAAATTAGTTTTAATCTATATCTGCTAGTAGTAGAGAAAAAATTCCTTTAATGTTCAGTTAACGTTATTTTTAGATTTTGGTTTCTTGATGTCAGAATAATAATTACGGGTAAAAATGTTTTATTATTATTTTTTTATTCAATTAGCTGTATTTAACTGACCATTACAGTAAGAGGCTCCCTGTCATAGATAATTAAATTACTTTTAAATTAAAATAGTACTTTTAACTTTTTTTGCTAAAATTCATTAACAACGTAAGACATTTTGGGCAATATTGGAACTATTAAATGTTAGTGCTTTGAGTTTTATCTTTCTATATTAGTTTTTCTTAGTTTAATTTATTTCATAACATAACATACAACATTTTCAAACACTTTTGTCTCCAGTGAACCCTTTTGCGAAAGCGAAAACTGAGAATTTTCTTGCATTTTGATAACAAATAATTTTTTAAAAGAGAAGAGGCTTTGCAGCATTACAGGAACTGGAGGAGCTTATTGGCAGTAATAAAAGGTACCTCTATGTTAAAGATTGTTGTTCGGTTCGAACAGACTTTTTTTTTAAATAAGATTTTATCAGTATGTAGGGCACTTTCAATGTGTCTGAAATGTTATGCAACTATTTTTTTCTGAAAGTTAGATGAATTTCCTGAAAAAAGTTTCCCTACAACTTTTCTCTAAAATCTAAACATCTTAATCTAAAAAATCCTTGAAAAAAAGTAGAAAAGTGATAAAAACAATAAAAATCCATTTTTGAGTGCCTAAAAAGTATTCTTAGAGGCGTTTAAAAAATCTGAAAAAATTCAAGGACACTCATGACATGTCAAATGACACATTACATCCATTTTTAAGGAAAAAAAAATTTTTTGACTTTCACCTGACAGAGAATAATCCATATGCATTGGTATTATATTATTGGATAGGCATGGATTTTAGATTATAGTTTGAAATTCATGACCCGGATGAGATTATAGAATAATTACAAATGTACAGTTTTCTGAAAATGAAAAAATCAATCAAATACAATGTTAATATTAGCTTTTGAATAACTATGATTGATGCAAAATATAGGAGCTAATTTAATTAATATTTCATTAGCTAACCTACTAACACTCAAATTCTTGATCTTGTGATAACAAAAACAATATTATATAATTACATGCTCTAATATAGCTTAGGGTATCGCCGTATACTTACTGAAATTGATATTAGTATAAGGTAAGCACAATTCAACTTTCACAAATCAACCTCTGACGATATCGCACTTTGATAATTTGAGTTCGAGAATATCGCAAGTATCGCAACTGATGGTGGATGCATACGCGCGCCTATGCGATAACTTTAATATACCTGATTCTTTCGATACTTTTCCATGTGATTGATAGTTTTCAAGATCTTTGATAATACTGTAACGGATTTTAGAAGAAGAGGATTAGATGATAATAAGGCTAAGACAGTTAAAGCGATACGAAGACGACACCAAGGCGAAAGCAGTAACGACAGAAACAATGTCTGCAACGCGCATACTCCCATTGTCGTTGTCATGGTTACAGATCATGCGCGTAGCAGACATTGTTGATCGCCACTGCTTTCGCTTAGTGTCGCCTTCGACTCACCGTTGCCTTCGTATCGCTTTGACTGTGTTAGCCCTAATATTCAACTCTAAACTTCGATTTGACCAACTACTTCGAGAATTTTAATACGACTCGAGATTTTCGATATTAACTCGCAACGGATATGTGATTAAAAACGATAAATACAATTGTTGAGGAAGGGTCAATGGTTTTTTTTCGAGTTTTGACTATATAAGAAAAAAAAGATAAGTGGTATAATAAAACTGAAGGGTACCCGGTACAATCAAAAATACACGGAAATTCGATCATTTATCTACTACATTTTAAGGTTATGAGCCAATAAAGTGGGAAAATATTATAAATACATGATTTATTCGCATTTTAAGAATTTGTAAGTTAAAAATGATTATTTTAACAATGATGATTCATAGCGCGTAAGAGAATAGATGGAAAAGCACACATCTAATTATCTGATTTTGAGTTCATGTAAAAAAGTGCGAAATGGATAAAAAACGTGGTATTTTCGAATTTTATCCTTTTGAAAGAGTTAAATGGGGACTAATACAATAGAATTTGATAATGTGGAAAGAAAAAATGTTGAAAAATGTTCAATTAACAACTGAGTTTTAAGGTTATGTGCAAATAAATGAGTAAAAAAAACGGTTTTTTTTTTATTTTTCGATGCTTTCCGCTCAGAATTTGAAAATTTTGCCTTGGCCATTCAAAAGAACAAAAAAAAATACACAAAAAATTACTATTTAAAAGTTAGCCAAAAATTATTAACATAACCTAAAAAAATATTGAAAATTTCAATAATTTTTCCTAGGCTCAATTTTCAATATAAAAATTTGAAAAAAAACAGGCTATTTTGTATTTAAAAGATACACCTTCATGAATTTTTTCAGATTTTTTAAAGCAAAATTGCGTCCAGAAAAAAATAAAGTCGAAAAAAGCTTCTTTTTTAGATTTAAGGGGTTCCGTGGCCTCTGGAAAGCTGAAAATTTGTATGAAGTCATGTTTTTATACACTTTATCGAAAGCATAGATCGCGCTGCTGATCGGTGCGGGGGCACTTTTGACCATCTTATCCCGCCATAGCCTTTAAGTATATGTTATATCATGGGAGAAAATTTTAAGAGTTTTCGCATTTCTATGCAATTTTCAGAAAGTTGTTTTTATACCTTTTTTCTGGAATTTTTGTATTTACTATAAAATATACATACTAATGTCACAAGATATTTTGATCGTAGATGTTATGGCGAACAATTTTGTCATACATTTATCATTTTTGTCATATATTTTTTTGGATACTTTCTGGGATAACCAGGACAATTATTAAAAATGGGGTTCTACAATGTCGATGTTTATACTACATTTTTTCCTGGTTCTTCCACAAAGTTTTCAGCTAGAACATGTCGAAATTCTAATAAAAAATACAGTATTGTGCGAATTAATGGAATCACTGTGAATTTTTTTTCATTTTTTCAATATTCACAAAAAAATGTTTTGGGGATGTTTTTCATATATGGGGGTTGGATCTTTCGTGCCAATTGAAGGCATGATGAACAGCCAAAAATACAAATCCATGTTGGAAAAGTATTTTGACAAACAACTCCAAAAATGTCAACCCCAAGGAGGAGCGATTCTTCAACAGGACTCTGCTCCCTGTCACAAATCAAAGAAAATAATGGCATTTTTCAAAAATAAGAAGATTAATGTTTTAGATTGGCCCGGTAATTCGCCCGACCTCAAGTCTATTGAAAATTTATGGGCCATTTGCAAAGCTAGACTGCAAAAAATCGACTGTACCACTAAAACAAAAATGATAGAAGCGCCACTTCAGGTTTGGTATCGAGATGAAAGGATATCTGACAACTGCCAGAAACTCATTGAATCTATGCGAAAACGGGTAAAAGCAGTAATTGCTGCCAAAGGGGGACATATTTCCTACTGAATGATCTAAGTTTACCTTTATAGTTTTGTCAAAATATAATTTTTTACTAAATAAACTGTTTTTTCATTAAAACAGCCTATGGTTCCATTAATTCGCACAATACTGTAACTATACGAGACATTTCTACAAAAATCGACGTTTCAATTCACGGCAATCAACTTATGCTATTTTGGTACAGATTCCGATTGGATTATTAACGCAAATTTCCTTTATCTATATTAACTTTATCATCTAAATTATATACATACTGGTTACTTAATTTAAGAACTGTTTAATCAACTTACCCTGCAATCCGAGAATATTTTACACTGCAATATCTTATAATCAGCAAGATTATTAAAAAGACCGCAGTTACGGAAAAAAATAAAATGATCCTGTATTTGATCCAATTGTTCATACTTGGTAAAGCACAAGTAGTTATCCCGTCGGAAAGGTATTTTTCTGAGTATCTCTCCCACATTATCTTAAGATGATATTGATTTAACTGATAACCTGGCCAGATTTCAGAATCGTTCTTCGTATTAATAGGTACCGCAAATTTGGCTTCTACACAAGGGTTGCAACTAGGCCAGCCAGCGGTGCATGTATAGATTCCGATGATTTCAACATTGTTGGTTCTAAAAACATACCTTATTTAATAAAAATAAACAATTATAATACAATATTATTAATTCTAATTAACAAATTTATTGGATTAAATATCTGGGGATTTTGATTACACTAGTAAACACACAGTTTGCTGCCGGAAAATGTTTTACTGTTTCTAGGTAATTTGGGTCTACTGAATCCAAAAATGCCACAAAATTTGCTCCATCAGATCGTTTTCAGGAAATACAACAGATCACATTTCTAATATATAGGGTAATTTAACGCAGCACTAGCTACATATATGTAGTGGTGCTACCAATCAAATTAACAAAACACTAATAAAAAGTAAGATATTTATTGTACAATAATGTACTTACAAAAATCATCACACATATCTGCCAAAAAAATTTAACTTTTCATCTTTTATCCTAACCAGCACCGCATCACAAATCTACTATTCAGCGTTACCTAAAAACTTCCTTTTATATGATTTTCTTGCAAAGGCTTTAAAAGGACGGTCCCTTTAAAGACTCCAGCAGTAATCCGCAATTATGTGAGTGCCCATCTCCCTTGATACCTCTCTTCCATCGTTTTGATATCTTGGTGGAAGCGTTCCCCTTGTTCCTCACTGAGGTCACCAAGATTTTCTGGGAAACGGTCTAAGTGGCTATGAAGGTAATTAATTTTAATACTCATATGAGCATAATTAAAATTGTTGAGCATTTCTTCTACTATGTCCCGGTAATTTTCCGATTCATTGTTTCCAAGAAAATGTTGCACAACTTTTACAAAAGAGCACCATGCATTACATTCAATTTCAGTGAACAATTCTGTAAAGTGCGAATCTTTTATAAGTTGTCGTATCTCAGGTCCATCAAATATTCTGGCTTTCAATTTTTCTTTACTAAGTGCAGGGAATTTACTAAAAATGTATTTAAAACAAAGACGATTCTGGTCCAGGCCCTTTACAAATTGTTTCATCAGCCCTAGTTTAATATGTAACGGAGGTAATATTATTGTCTCTCGGTCAACCAATGCTTCGTTAACTACATTAGTTTCTCCTTGAACTAAATCCTCTCTGGGATGCCATTTTCTTCTACTCCAGTGTTGGTCCCTAGCCCTGCTATCCCAAAGACACAGGAAACAAGGATATTTTGAATAGCTACCATGTTGTCCCAGCAGAAACTTCATCAGCTTAAGATCAACACAGAATATTTGTTCCCATTATGTAAAAGGACACACTTTAAACTTCGATTGGAACTGTCGATAAAAAGACGCCAGAGATCTGGTATATATTCCGATACACCCATTTTGTCTAACAGTTATTTAATATTATTACAAAAAACCATATCATTTCGCTGAGAAAAAAGGTCTTTTTCTCTATTACGGTAGTATGTAATTTTGGGGTCCGGGTAAAGAAGATTTTTTTGCTTTAGTCTGGAGGCAAGCAACTCGGAGGGATCCTTTAGAAGGTTCAAATCTCTAATAAGATTACTTAGCTCTTCCTGAGTACAGGAAGTGTTGACTCCTCTTCAAAATTACTGTCGTCTTCCTCAAATCTATTAGTCTGTAGTTTGTCAGATAACGTTTCGACATTATCCTCTGGTAACTTAGGTAGACAGCTAAATATTGGAATGAGTATATGTTCAAGCTGATGTGTAATTGGTCTTATTGCTGAATCCAGGCTAGGATATGTCCACGTATGTCGGTTTTTACGATGAATGCCCTTTATATTCACAAGACAGAAAAAGCAATCGTCAAAATGATTTTTTGGTTCCCTTCATACCATTGGTACACCAAACTTTAACCCATTAATGCCCAGAATTATTTATGATTATTTTATTTTAATTCCTGAAAAATTGATGTTTTAAAAGTTACAAAATTAATAAAAAATATATGTTTAAAAAATGAAAAACTTCTTCTTTTTTGACAAGTGGCTGTTGCAAAAACGCAACACTGAGCAGTTAGGATGTAAAAAAAACAGGATGTTTTTAAGATGTAATCATACGTTGTTTGGAATATTTTATTAGATCATATAAAAGAGTTTAAAAAAAACTATTGCGTATTGCTATGAAATTTAATAAAACATTTTCATATAATGCAACCTTACATTGAATACATTTTTTATACATTATGCATCTGGTTCGTTTTTCTTGGGTAGAAATAAGATGGCCGATGTTATGATATCTTCTTGGAGGAGTTTCAAGCATCGTCAACAAGGCTTTGGCTATATTTCGACAAAACTGTAGCAAATCTATTTCGGGTTTTTGAGGGATAATTTGTCCCATTCTATGGTAAATTATCCAAGCATTTTGTATGGAAACATCAAGACCCCAGATAAATAAAGGCCAATACAATTTATGGCCTGGTTTTATAACTGGTTTTCTACTTTCCTTTACAATGTACTCCCCATATATGTAGCAAAAAACGTCCGAGCTATTTACACAACAACGCCTGTTTGTAGAAGCCATGGTTTTCAGTTGTCAAAAACAAACTCTTTCAACGAAACTCAAATTTAAACTCAATTTTACAATAGAATGCAGTTGATTTTATATAAATTTATTAAGACCGTTTCAGAGAAAATACTATTTATTTATGGGACAATGGTTAAAAAGTAATTGGCGCTAATTTCAAGTTATGGGCATTTCCAAAAAGTACACTTTAATTAGGAGTAATTAGTATGTATTTGTATTAGAATTTGTTAAGTTGATTTATAAACAGTTATAGTGTTTTTAAATCACTAGAATATACAGAAATGTAAGAATATTTAAGTATTTGATGAGTATGTTATATCTCGAAAACTAGAGCTGATACAAAGAAAAGGGTTGTATTTTTGGAATCAGCACAGATGAATTAATCAAAATCACTTGATTTTTTTTCGGCAGCAAGACAAACATTTTTTTGTTGGGCTGTATTATTTATACAAAAAATTGCTTAAAATGCATAAACGTCAATTTGTTTCGAATAATGGATTTTAAATCATACTGATTTAACCGCAGATAATGGGTATGTCCACGATACACTTACACCCGGTGTGCTCGCTTGCCCAAAACTGGCAAGTTTGGCACATGACGTCACGTACGAATCAACTCACTTTTATTTACGTTCTGTTTACATAGATTGTGGTGTGATATTTACGTTAATTCGTTAAATATTTCTATTTAACGTCATATTGATAGCTTTAGGCGTATATGTATGATTTATAAAGTGTATGCAGTATATTATATTTTTAATATTCCATTGATAATACTTTGAATCGAGCATTTTAAAATGCCGGGATGTACAGTAGCCTGTTTCAAGAATTTTAATCGAAAAACCAGAAGAACAGATATTAAATATTTTAAATTTCCTAAGAATGAAGTCTTAGCACAAAAGTGAATTGTGGCTTTTCGACGTCAAGAAAACATAAATTTAAAAAATAGTAAGTTTCACCATTTTACTCGTTTGCTGTACTCACTAGGTATCTGTTTTACTCGTTTGTTATACATACTATTTTTTAACTTACAACCTGCGTTTGTTCCGTGCATTTTGAATCAAATTGTTTCGAAATACCACTGAAAGAAAGACTTCTGCAGTATACATCGGAAAATAGTCGCTATTTAAAATCTGACGCAGTTCCAACTTTAAATTTGAATGGAAGTACAATAGAACGGTTACTTCATAAAGCTAAAAGTGAGGAACGTTCTGAGTGATATCTATGAAGAAACCGTCAGAATGAAATTAGAGATCTCTTATGCCTGGTTGCACCAACATAATATCTTAAGCTTAAGACGTGCCTTAAGCTCAGCTTACGCGTGCTACATTGAGTCATTTTAGACTCTTTTTGTCGCTCAATCATTGAAAAGTTACATTTCAGTTAAGACGGCGTTAGATAAGAATCCAAAATTATGGTCCAACGTAAATGAGAGTTAAGGTGGCCCTAGCTATAAGCGGAGCTGGGCTAAGCTAGAGCTTAAGATCTGTTGGTGCAACCAGGCATTAATGCCCCTACGAATACTACAAATGCTCAAATTATAAATAGCGAAGCTACCTGTCAGATTTCCGATTCCAGCAATGCAATACTTCAGAAGACAAAAAATATGTAAGTATTTATAACTGCATTTGAATAAAATTATCACATAAAAATAATATTGATAAATTAATAATAATCTATTTTCTTTTAGATCAAATAGTGAAGTTGAGTTCGAACAAAGAATTAAGATATTGGAGGAGCAGAATGCGTTACTCTTACAAGAATTAGAAACCAAAAACTTCAAATGGCTTTAGAAATATGAATTGGCAATGAAAACGGTTACATATATATTTAATGCAATATTAAGATGTAATTATCGGCCTAACAATCTAAATCTTAAAATTGCAGAAATACTTTTATTCCCAAAACCAGGAAAGGTTCCAAGTGAAGTCTCATCCTATCGACCTATCAGTCTGTTATCAACTATCTCCAAATTACTAGAAAAACTTTTAATAAAAAGAATAGATCCAGACCTTACAGGCGCAAATTGGATACCAAATTTTCAGTTTGGATTTCGACGAGAACACTCAACTGTCCAGCAATGCCACCGAATAACCCATAAAATCAATTCCGCATTAGATTAGAAAAGGAATATTGCCCAATGGTATCACTAGATGTATGTCAAGCTTTTTGATAATGTTTGGCATAAAGGACTTCTTTATAAAATTAAACAAATATTACCACCATTCTTTCGAATACTTACATCATACTTGGAAAACCGACAGTTTAGAACAAAAGTAAATGGAGAAATATCTAAAATGCATCCCATTAAAGCGGGAATTCCACAGGGCAGTGTCCGGGGACCTTTATTTTAATATATTATATAGGTCTGATCTACCAATTTCACATAACGTAAGTATTGGCACATTTGCAGATGACACAGTAGCACTTACATCACAAACACATTAACATAGCTACACAACAACTCCAAGACTATTTGTATGAGCTTGAAAACTGGCTAAAACATGAAAACAAATCAACCCACGTAACTTTCTCAGGCGACAAAATGTAACCTTGTCTGACTCCTCGTTGTATAGAGATTTCATTGGTGTAGTTATCTCCAATTTTTACGATAGCAGTTTGATTCCAGTACACATTTTTAATGACAACGAATATCCTTGTCATATATTCCGATATTTTTCAGTATTTGCATTAATTTTACATGCTATACTTTATCGTATGCCTTTTCGAAGTTCACGAAACATGCAATTACATATTTTCTTTGGTCACGGCATTTTTGTAGTAGGATGTTAAGCGCAAAAAGTGCCTCCTTGGTTCCCATAGCATTTCTAAAATCAAATTGAGTATCTTCGAGATCTTCACATTTGCGTCTAATTCTGTTGTGAAGTATTCTGACAAAAATTTTAAGTGTGGCTCATTAGGCTAATTAATCGATATTCTGAGCATTTTCTCGCATTGTGTTTTTAGTGTTTTTATTAATAAAAAACTAGCTGAGAATATCATATCAGTTAAAGCAGTTTCCACAAGAGTTATACTTGCAAAATTACAACTAAACACCCGTTACTCCATAAAGATCATTCAAGTCTACGCACCAACATCGAGCCACGCTGACGAAGAAATAGAACAGTTCTATGATGACTTGTACACAGCTATTTCAGAAGACCAAGAACATTTTACGGTAATATGTAGCGCCTTTAATGCCAAAATAGGAATAAGCACTGACCCAGCTGAAAATGCCCTCGGAAATTTTGGCACACCAGGTAGAAATGAAAGGACGAAATACTTTTAAATTTCCTATTAGAAAACAATCTATATTTAATGAAAAGCTTCTTCTATAAGAAGATCCATAGAAGATGGACTTGGAAGAGCCCCGATGGTAAGACAAAAAATGAGATCGACTTCATCATCACTGACAAAAAAACGTATAGTCAAAGATGTTACAGTCTTAAATCAATTTTCTGTTGCAAGCATTCATAGAATGGTCCAAGCAACTGTAAAAATCAATATTAAGCAAGAAAGACTGAAGATGATAAAAAGTAAAAAATTCAAACCTTGGATGCGCCCAACGATTGAACTTGACTTTGAAAAATATATCACCAGTAACTTACTCAGAAATACAACAAGAAAAGACGTAAATAACCTAAACGAAGAAATAGTAGATACATTAACACAAGCTTAGGAAAAATTTGGGCCTAAACATGGAAAAGAACAAAAAATTAGTAAAGAAACGAAACAAAAAATGAAAGATCGTAGAATGCTGAGAAGTCAAGGAAATGTTGACTCACAAGATATAAACAGCGTCAATAAAGAAATCTCTAAAGCCATCAGACGGAATATTAGAAAATACAACAACGAGAAAATTATAAAAACTATAGAAGACAACAAAAGCATGAAAGCATTGAGGAGAAAAATGGATAATGGCAAAAAAGAAATCTTCCAACTTAAAGACAAAAATGGAAATATTATCTCAGATAGACCAAGCATATTACATATAATGGAAAGTTTCTATGAAACATTATATAAAAGTCAAGTTATTCCAGAGCTCATCGAACAACCAATACAAAAGGTACATAATGTAGGATCGGAGGATATACCAGATATATCACGAGAGGAAATTTAACATGCTCTCAAAAATATGAAAAATAATAGAGCTCCGGGGGAAGATGGTGTAGTCATTGAGACAATTAAACTAGGAGGTTCACTTTTGATGTCCCGAATCCAAACACTTTTTAATCTATGTCTGCATAGTGAAAACATTCCAAGTAAATGGAATAATTCGGTTACGATCCTCCTTCACAAAAAAGGGGATAAATTAAATCTCGAAAACTATAGGCTAATCAGTTTGCTTAACCACCTATACAAGCTCTTTACTCAAATACTGACAAACGTATTAGAAGCAAAACTCGATTTCTATCAATCAGAAGAACAGGCAGGATTTCGAGCGGGACACGGAACAAACGACCATTTGCAATGCCTGAAAACTCTAGTTGAAAAGTCTATCGAATATAACAGACCCCTTGCTCTTATCTTTGTAGACTTCCACAAAGCATTTGACACAGTCGAAACAGTTGCTATCTTAAAAGCACTATCAGAATGCAAAACAGATCACAGGTATGCAAATATTATTCGAAATATATACGAAAAGGCGACAACAACCGTTAACCTCTATTGCATGACTGAGAAGATAAAAATTGGCAGAGGGGTGCGGCAGGGAGATACCTTGTCTCCAAAACTATTTATAACAGTTATGGAGTACGAATTTAAACGGCTAGAGTGGGAATCAAAGGGTATTAGCATCGATGGAAAGATATTCAATCATCTCAGATATGCCGATGATATTGTTCTCATAACAGACAACTTAGGAGAAGCCAGAGTTATGCTACAACAACTACAGCAAGTAACCCAGAAAGTCGGTTTAAAGATAAACTATGGAAAAACAAAAATGATGACCAACCTCGTCCCCAATGAGCTAATAGAAATCGAAAAGTCGCCCATAGAATTTGTGGAAAAATATGTGTATTTGTTTCACGAAATAAGGTTAACGCGAGATAACCCAACATGCGAGCTTAGAAGAATAAGTCTGGGTTGGACTGCATTAGGAAAAATGAGAGACGTATTTAAAACAAATATACCGATCCATTTAAACAAAAAAGCTTTTAACCAGTGCGTTCTACCAGTCCTCGCATACGGAGCAGAAACCTTAACTCTCACAAAAAACATCAGCCAAAAAATTGAGAAGGACACAACGAAAGGTGAAGAGATCAATGCTTGGAATAATCTTAAGAGATAGAATAAGAAACGAGGAAGTCCGTAGACGAACCGGAGTGGAAGACATTATCGAACATATTACAAGGCAAAAATGGAGATGGGCTGGACATGTTGCAAGAATGAAAGACGATAGTTGGACAAAAAAATTGCTTGAGTGGAGACCACGGGCTGACAAGCGAAGCCGAGGAAGACCTCCAACGCGATGGACCGACGACTTCAAAAGAATCGTGATCAATTGGATAGCAGAGGCGTAGAACAGAAGCAGATGGTAAAATCTAGAGGAGGCCTATGTTCAACAATGGACAACTCAGGGCTGATTGATGATGATGATAATGATGATGTTTTTAGGTATTGCGACAAAGATGGATTTGAGCCAATCTGCGGAAATCACTCCGGTGTTATATATTGAATTAAAAAGTCTTACTACTACTTTTATGTTATCATTTTCTATTAGTTTCAGCAACTCCGTTGGCGTATCATCTGGACCACAAGCTTTTCCAATTTTAGCATTATTTATAGCGTGTTCTACCTCGCATTTCATAATTTCTGGACCGTCAGTACAGTTTTAGTAGAATTCGGTAATATTATTCCTGTCATCTTCAAACAACTCTGATATATACAGCTGCCATTCTTTTCTAATTTCGTGCTCATTTACAATAATTTTGTTATTATTGTCAATGAGTACAGAGGGAACTCGTTTTTAAAATATCTTACTCGTTTCTTATAGTTTTTTGTGCACATTAAATAAGTCGTGTTTAGATATTACATCTTCCATTTTATGGCACCTTTCTCTCATCCATTTTTCTTTGGCTAATTTGATTTCCTTTTTTATTTTTCTCTGCAAGTGTCTATATTCTGTTACATTAGATTTTATCAGTCGACGTTGTTCCATTAATTTCAAGATGTCGTCTGTCATCCATTTATTTTTCTTAATTAAGTTTTTTTCTATAATCATTGTTTGTGGAGATTTCCTTAACTTGGCTTTAAAGTCATTCCATAGTTCTTATGGATCTTCTAGTTGTTCTCCGATGTTTTTTATTCTATTGTTAAATTCTTTTTTATTGCTATTTTTTATGTTTATATCGTCAAAGTTAAGTTCATTCGTTTTAGGTTTTTGTCGCTGAATTTGTTTTAATCTTAGTTTAATATCTGCTACAAGTGGTTGATGATCAGATCCAATATCTGTCTCAGGATATGTAGTGACTTTTTTGACGGCATTTCGGAAACGCTCATTTACAAGTATATAGTCTATTTGATTTCTTGAAGACTCAGGATTATTGCCATCATCAAATGGGGATTCATTCAATCAGAACTATCCAAAGTAAAAATACATAACTAGGAGCAAATCAATTTTATGTAAACTTACGTTATATTATCAACCAATTCAAACTGCTGATCTTCACAATAATCAATAGCCATATTTGCAATCATCTGTGTAAAATCCGATAAAATAGTTGGATTTCGGTATTGATATGCTGCTAGACCTGACAAAACTACGACCAGTTCATAGGTATCGTTAATACTTGGGGTAGGCAGAAATTCTGTCGATGATGTTGGTTCAGCGGTAGTAGTTGTGATAACGTCCCCTAAAAATAAAGGAAAGAGTATTATAATCATCCCACAAATAGACCGACATGTTTTCTCCAGAACAAATGGTGGATTTTCTTTAAATTTAAAGTAAAAGGCGTCGATGAGCTTTGTCGTTGAAAAGACTTTTTATTTATGGAAAAATATGAAACTAATTGACTTTTAAATAACTAACTTTTTACGTAAATAAAAATATACAAACATTAGTAATGTTTTTATTTTGAGAACAATTTCCGAAGTGGAGATTGAAACGTCAATAAACGTACTTTAACCTTTAATTGTGGCTTATTCCCTATTAAACAGTAATTACTTTAAAATGCCACAAGAAAATAGTTCCTGTCACATAGTATCTTACCATCAATTTTTCCAAGTGTTTTGATCTCTGCTATTTCTAACATCCTTTTTGTCCTTTCCGTGTTAGGTCGTGTTTCTGCCGTGTATGTCGTTACTGGTCTGATGACTGTTTTGTAAATTCTGCTTTTCATTTACTTACCTATATTTTTATTTCTCCACATAGTTTGCTTGATCTTCCAAATCAGTTTCGAGTTTTTCATAGTTATAGTTTATTTTTATGAACTAGAGAGTAATTAGCATAATTTTAACTGGTACCTCCGACCACTCCATGGGCGTGCTCAAGATTAATTGAAAAATTACTTTGAATAATTGTAAAAAATAAATGAATTATTTCAGTGTTATAAAGTGTTATGTGCATGTAAACAAAAGTGACCTCTTTTATCACACACTATATTAGAACTGACTGGCCTACATTAAAAAGGGTTTTAAAAAATTCACATTTTTTTTTTAATTTTTAAAAATTACAAAAGAGAAAAAGAGTTTTTAAAAACCGTCTAAGGTATGTTAAATAGATGAATAAAAATATTAATATAAAACTTACAGCTACTTGTTACAAAACCAAATCAGATTCAGAAGATGAACTTTTAGAACCAAGATTTATAATAACTGGCTCGATCATTTTATCAGTAATATTGTCCAGCTTCCACATTTTTTCCTCTTCTTTAATAGTGTGATTTACTGCCTTTTCCCAGTTTTCAGGTTTTACATTATTTACGGCCTCCAAAAACAACTGTTTAACATCATGAATTTTAAAAGTGGTATTTTTTCTTGAAACTTCACTCTTTATCTGTGCCCATACCAGTTCAATCGGGTTTAATTCACAATGATATGGTGGGCATCTAAGTACTGTCATTCCACGATTTTTGGCAATTTCAATCAATTTCGTATTTTTTAAATTTTTCTTTATAAAGGGCACACAACGAATAAAGTTCCTTTCTTATAGATCCGGGATGGTACGTAATATTTTTTGAACTCAGTTATTACACAGTTCTTAGGAAGAAGATCTATCATTTGTTCGAACCATTCTTGAAAGACATCAGCGTTCATGTCTTCATGGTAGTCACCGGTACGAGTTGATTCAAAAGTTAATAAACCACCTTCAACAAAACCATCTGAACTGCCAATGTGTACTATTATCAACCTGCGTCCCTTTTCTGATGGTGGGTTTAAACCAGTAGATAAGTTATTTACAAAAGCGTGCCTTGGACTTGTAACAGTTTCATCCTGCCACAATTTATTTGGTTTATGACCCTCGTTGATCCATGTTTCATCAAGATAAAATATTTTTCTTTTTTGGTTTCTCATTTCTTTTATGGTTCTTAGAAAATGTCTTCTCCATATGACAATATCGCTTCTTTCTAATCAAATAGACTTTCTGTGATTCTTTTTCCAGCGGAAGCCTATTTCTTTTAAAAGTTTCCATAACGTACTTCGACTCATTTCTGGGTAATCCTTATCATCTCGAACTGAGACAAGAACTTTATCCAATGTTGGAAATTCTTGTCTAAAGAAGAATTCATGCACTTTCCGTCGAAGTCCTTCTTTAAAATGATATTCTATTTGAAATTTTGGTTTCCCTGGAGCATTACGTGGCATTTGAAAACTACCACATTTCTCTTCTTTAATAACTCTGTAAATCGTAGATTTCCCAACAACAAGTGTACTGCTAACTAACTCAACGGTCTCATCAACACTATCACATAAACGTTTGTCTGTAAATGATTTAAAACAATTAAATATTAATGTTTTTTCATTAACTGTTAAAGGACCAATTTTTCGGCGTTTACACGGCACTTCCAAATTTTCCATAACACTAGTATACACAATAAACTGCACCTTGCAACTGAAGTACCTACTTTTAGTGAACTGTTAAGAATTTTGAATAGGTACGCCACTTGGACCTTCCTACAAAATGGAAAAACCCACTATCACATTTTCTGTGGAATAAGTTTAGAAGGTAATTATCTAGTCAATTACTGTCGTAGATTCCTGGAATTAAAGAATTAAATGTTTGATTGTTGAAACCCTTACTTCGTGGAATACACTCATTTCAGATAAAATAAAACGTTTTATTTTATCTAAAGAATTAAACTTTATTTTGCAAATAGGTAGGTACTTATTAAACTTTTATTGGTTATATATAACCAATAAAATAAACATCTTACATTTCTTGCAAATTCATTAGTACCTGTTAACCTCCATCACTCCGACACTGGCAACCTTATTTAGGGATTAGTAACCCTCACAACTATTGTATTCTATTCTGCTCCAACCTTTATACCTGGTGGTCATACTCAATTTAAAATTGTTTTCCTATATACTTCTGTAAACTTGTTGACAAATATCTGTTTTTCATTGAGTCACCCGTATCAACAGTTTAGGGATTTGCATACATAATTTATTGTTTTATTACTCTCTTATACATAAAAATACACTATAGACAAGTGATGCCTAGATATTTAAACTCAATCACTTACTTTATTATCTGACCTTCCAGCTCCAATTTACATCTTAGTAAATTTGTTGTTGTAACCAAGCATTTTGTCGTTTAATTAATGTTTAATTATCTATCTCCTTCACTTTGAGAGAGTAGTATTGCGTCGTCTACATAGCAGATTATTTTAAGTTGTTTTTCTCCCATTTTGTATCCTTTTTTAGTTCTTACTCTATTTTTATTTCATTCATATTCAGGTTAAACAATAGAGGCCTCAGGAAATATTTCTGTATTATCCCATTGCCAGCTTCAATAGGGTCGGTTCTGTTTCTACTTGTACTTTTATTGCGTTGTTTTGGTAAATATTTTCGATTGTTTTGATTATTCCTAGAGGTATCATTCTTGCAGACAATAAGTGGATAATGTATTTTAATTTGACCCGGTCAAATGCCTTTTTAAGGCCCACGGAACATAGATATGTCGGTGTGTTGTATTCTAATGATTTCTCTTGCACTTGCCTCATTATAAATATAGCGTCGGTGCATAATCCTTCCGATCTAAAACATTGTTGTTCTTCTCTTAGTGTTATAATTTTATTCAGTTTATTTCTTATCACTTTGGTTGTTAATTTTAGTGTTGTGTTTAATAAATTAATTCCTTTGTAATTTTCTGGGTCGGATTTGTCTCCCTTTTGAAAAGAGGTATTAGGAAGCTTAATCTCCATTCTTAAGGAATTCTGTCTTGTTCTATTATTTTTTGGATTAGTTTTAATAGTTGTTTGGTCAGATCTGGTCCTCCGTACTTAGGAGTTCGTTCGGTATTCTGTCCCCTCCTGGTAATTTTCTATGTTTTAATTTCCTTAATGCTTCCTTTACCTCTTCCTCCTCAATATTTCTTTCTTCGTTTGTCGTCACCTCTGGTGTTAGTGGTTCATTATCACTTATTATACCACCATTCCATGGTGGAAATATGGTAGTATCAATATCGTCACCTTTAGCAAATAGGGATCGAAAGTAGTCTACCCATGTTACCTTCTAAATGTGTTTCGTTTTTATTAGTTCGTTCATCATTTCTCTTTGTCCTCTGATCATTCTCCATATTTCTTTTTGTGTTCCGTAGAAGTCGTACTCCTACTGTTTTGAGAACCTCTGCCAGTGTTCCCTTTTTATTTGTCCGTATTTATATTAAAGTATTCGTTTTATTTCTGATTTGTTTATAGTGGTTATATGCCTGTATTGTAAAAAGGCTTTCCTTTTCTTCACATTTTGTCTTCACTTCCTCTCTAAACCATGGTGTTTTTTTATATGTTAGTGTTCGTTACTTTCCTCCCTCCAAATGATTCCGATGCTGCCTAATTATGTTATTTTTGAATTTTCCCAGCTTTCCTCAACGTTATCGTTTTCTAATATTTTATTACCCGCGATCTTGTCTATCTTCTCTACCTACATGTGAATTTAGGCATCTTACCTCAATTATTTTCAATGAATGTATATATATATATATATATATATATATATATATATATATATATATATATATATATATACATATATGTTGATTATAACATAATCTATTATAGATCTTTGTCTACAGGTGTTATTAAATGTATATTTGTATTGGTCTTTGTGGTTATAAAATATGTGGTGTATTCTAAGTTCGTTATTTGTGCAGAAGTTTATCATTAGTTCCCTATTTTCGTTTTTAACATCCTCGTTATCTTTTTGCTTAATTTTGGGTATTACTTGATTGCCTATTCGAGCTTTAAAATCCCCCAATATTATCATCTTCCCTCTGACTTGATCTACTACTTATTGTGATTGGTCATAAAACGTTTCCCTTGTTGTTTGAGGCTTGTTATTTTCTGGGCCGTATACTTCGATGATGTTCAAGTCTTCCTTCTCTATTGTTATATTTGCTTTTACAATCCTTTCTGATATGTATTGACATTATTTGATGCGATTTTGGTACCTTTGGTGTATTAGTAACACTACACCTTCTTTGGCCCTGTTTTCTTTTGCTACTCCACTATAGATTAGTATGCATTTACCTAATTTGAATTGTCCCTTTTCTTTCTCTTTTGTTTCCTGTAAAGAAAAAATGTCTATTTCTATCTTATTCAGCATTTGAGAAATTTCTTGGTCTCCTGTTCTGGGTTTTGAATGTTTTTCACTTGTTCTTATTTCTTGCCGTGGCCGTCTTCATAGTAGACTCCGACAAAGTTAAGTTTGGGAATATTACTCATAAATCGACGATTCGCGATGATTCTTGTTTACTAGTGTTACCATAGAAACGGCCAGTTTGCTGTTTGCCAGTGTCGCAGTTGTGTATCGGAGAGAGTGTTTGACTTGTTGATTTGATCGTGTTGGATATTTTATTATTTTATTTTAGATTAGTGCTTAGTATCATATTGGTAGTAGTAATTAGTAAATTATTAAGTCATTTAGTGTATGTATAGTGTGTTAAGTTTAGTTATTAATAATATTTATTTAACAATATGGCTTCCAAAAGATAGGAACAAAAGAGCTGGGATTAAATAGTCAAGCAAAGTCAATAATTTATAATGTTACTACATTTATGGAACAAGATGGAGCATATTTCGAAGCTATCGAAAACCTGTTAATACCTTTAAGGAAATTGACGTAAGTATTGTCAATGATATTTTATTTTCTTATGTGTGTATGTGTGTGTGTGTGTGTCTGTGTGTGTGTGTGTGAAAGATATGACACGGAAACAAGTACATCAGCCACATAATGTTTTATTTATATTTAAAGATATTTTTTTGTTCTTGTTTGATACTTTTTTTAGATATATGTATAAATCACTGAAGTTATACTAATTTATATTTCTACTTTCACATCTTTAATGTAAAGTGGTGTGTATCTGGAAACATGTATTTTGCGAGTTTTTAACAATATTCTCCCATTGCTGTTTTCATTTTAGTCTAATTTTATTTTTTATTGAGTTAAATATATCCCTTAGTGTATAAATATTGCAAAAAACTGCACTGCTTCCTTAGCTAGAGTATCACCTTTTTCATTCCCTGGTATACCTACAAGGCCTCTAGCCCAAATAAATTATATTTAAATTTACAATCATGGTAATTAAAAAATATAACATAGGACACTTCATTCCTTCAAATTTTGTATTTGTATTACTACTCCTTCGAGTATGTTATTGGATGTTAACCAGGTAACACCTTTTATAATTGCAAAAAGTTCGGCAATATAAATGCTACAAGAAGGTGGTAATTTATATTTCAATGATTGGTTTGTATTTTGTATAAATACACTACAACCAACACCTTGTTATTACCTATTTACGATGTTTCATCAGATACTTTATACTATTTGCTTGAATCAGAAAATCACCGATCTCAATATGGATTGTGTTAGTAAATATGATGTGCATTTTGTTTCTTAGTATTTTCATCTAGTAACATTTAACATTGATAATTATAGGGATACGATTTTAGCAGCTACAGGTATAAGTAAAAACACCTTATCCAAAATAAGAAAAGAAGCTAGAGAAGTCAATAAAAATGGAGCTACTAGTTCATCTTTACAAGTCCAAAAAGAAAACGTTCTCGTGCTAAAAAAAATTAAATTGGACCAAGGAGAAGAGGAAATCATTAAAAATGTTATATAGGTATGACTTTTACACCATCGAGAAAAAATCACCTACAATTAAGTTTGTTACAAAAAGATCACCTACAAAAATTTTGTTATCGTAAATAAAATAGAATCAATAAAATTATAAAACAATTGTTTGTTTGTACCCATTTAGAACGAAATGAAAGTTTTCTAGTAAAAACACTGATATGGATACATTTTAAACAAATACGGCCTTTACAATTTTACTTACTTAGTAAAAAAGATTTACTTTCCAAATATTTTAACTCTTTCTATTTAGTTAAGGTATTTATCAAAAACTACCTAAAAACTAACTAAAGAACAAAGAAATGGGATTTCCAGAATCAAAGGAATCATTAAGGAAAACCATAATTGGATTATACTTTAGGTAACACAGTAAAATAATTATTTCGCTGAACAAATAAAACTGTATAATGGATCATGTATTTTAAATTGATATTTTATTAACATCGTTTTAGTTAAACTTATGATGAATATGAATAGTGTCTTTTCAAGGGTACTAAATATTTGATCAGTTTATTTCGATTCCGGTTTCCGAAAAACCGTAAACAAAAAATACGATACGATTTTACATAATTTTTGTTTTTAACAAATGAATTGTTCTCACTTCTGTATGTTGTGATACATTTGAAATTAACACCATCATACTTTTGAAAATATATTCTTCAAATTATCTCGAACAAATTTTTAGTGGAGAAAAACCGAAGACAATAGGAGTGTCCTAATGAAAAAATATGAAATTCGTTTAAAACGAATAGAATATTTAAAGAAGCTAATTCCATTTCGATCTGAGGGTAGATCCATAGTTTATACCGACGAAACATAATATACACAGTATATAAATTATATATTTATTTATATAATCATAGAAGTCTTTACAATCCTTACTGTTTAGAAAATAAATACATTATTTAATTAGTTAAAATAAATTACTTATTGTTTTGTGTTGTTAAAACCCTTCGTTTTTTAATAAATTGTAAGTATTGAGGAAATTGTTATTTATTAAAGTACTCCTAATAGTTTACTAATTATTTTATCGAATGCCTGACTATAAACTTCATAATTATTAAAAACTATAAAAATAAAAAAAAACAAATTCATTCTCACTTTAATTGAATTTACTTATAAAAATTTATTTTAAAGCTGCCGGTTTCCGTCCGCTACTGGTAGAAACCATCCACCCATATGCGCAAACCACTACGTCACATTCCCAAACTTAAGTTTGTCGGACTCTATTAATCCGCTTCCGAGGCTGTACATTGTTGCTTTAAGCAGTATTCGTTTTTACGAGTGGTAGGTTGCTAACCTTACCAATTACCCTCCATATTTTATCCAGACTTGGGACCGGCTGTAGTAACGGCAGAGCTATTCAATTCACCCTGCAATCACCCCAGGCAGGGTTTCATTTTGATTTTAAATAACGCAATTATTTAATATATAGACGTTACTAGATGTTCGTTTCAATACAGAGCGGCGGCAAGCCGCTTATACGTATTTCGACCTCTTTAGGTCTCTTCAGAGCGATATAGCCACCTCTCTTTATCGAAACAAAATCTATTCCCGTCTTAGACAATAGTTATAAAATAACTATATACGGGCGTAACTACACCATCCAATAACAAAAAGAGAAATCATACGATTTTTACCTAGTAAAATCGAATTTAAATCTTTACCACTGTGCTTTCTAAAACTTGCAAAGCAAACAGCTTTATAAATTACTCGGCAAGGGAATCTAAGATTGCATTCCACATGCCGTTCATCACGGTAAAAATTCGTAGTGATTTCAATTTCTGGTACTCCAAACGAAGTAAAGAAATAGGTGGCAATACCGTTCTGAAGAGACCTAAAAAGGTCGAAATACGTATAAGCGGCTTGCCGCCGCTCTGTATTGAAACGAAAATCTAGTACCGTCTTTATATTTTATTTCTCTACTTTGTTTGGAGTACCAAAAAATGAATTCACTACTAATTTTGACCATGATGAACGGCATGTGGAATGCAATCTTAGATTCCCTTGCCGAGTAATTTATCAAGTTGTTTGCTTTGCAACTTTTAGAAAGCACAGTGGTAAAGATTTGAATTCGATTTCGCTAGGTAGAAATCGTATGATTTCTCTTTTGTAATTATTTAAGTTAAATAATTTATAAGTTTTTACTTACCAATTCTTGCCAATTCGAATGTAACATTGCTATTTTTAGTACCAGTGAATTCTAAGTTTAACACGTCTGTATTGTACAGAAATTTGGGATTAGCTGCAACTGCCCCAGTAACAATTATAGATTCTTCCGGTTTATCTGAAAGTAAGAATGAATCTAACATAAAATTGCAACTAAAGAAAAAATATTAAAAACGTAAAGTAAGTTAAATATTTTGCAATTTAGAACTATAAATTTATTAATTTCATGATGTTAGTTGATTTTAAATCAGTTGCAAAATGCTTTAAGGTATACAGGAAATATCTAAAAAAGAGATAAGTCTCTAGGGATTAGGAATTTTAAAGACTGCATCTAAACATTCCGTATATGTATTTAGCAACTAGGACTTTTCTATTGGTCCAAACACATATATGAAATGTTACTTTGGTGCAAAATTCAAATGCAATCTTCAAGTTTTGTAACTGCAAAATTCTGTCGCTATATCGCCTTCGTAAAGGACACTATTATTTTACTCACTAGGAACTTTGTATGTATTTTTAGATAATTTAATTATATATTCCTGTTGTAAATATTTAACTTTTTCTGACTGCCTTTTAAAGAATAATCTTGGAGCAGCATTTCTACTATTTCGAAGCCGTCTTCTATAATATTCTTCTAAGGCAGTACAGCTAAAGTTTATGCTATTAAAGCTATAGCATTACCAGATTTGTTTCAATATAGAATGTCTTTAAAAAGCCTTACTGTTATTTTACTGAAATTGTTGGTTTGGTGGCCATGTGTTTGGTGGCCATGCGTCCGTATAAGCGAGGCACCAATCTTCCTTTATTTTCCAATATTCAGTGATATATTTCTTCCACTGTGCAAATAGTTGGTTTTCAAGAATAATCTTAAATGATTTTGTGGCATTCTCTATAATCGATACTAATAATGTAGCTTGAAATGTCTTGAATAAAAGTTGTTGTCTTGGAGTATTCCATTCCTTTTTTAACAAAGCCAGCGTCAAATTGATTGGCATATATGAAAACAGCATAAGAGTGTTTGTGATGCTGGATAAACACGTTTTAAAGTCTTCATCTTTTAAATCTTCAATTGTTTGCCTTTGCTAATAATATCTGCTAAAGGCACTGGTCTTATTCTACAAGGGAATAACATAAGCTAAACCCAATAGTTTAATGTATCGCAAGAAGCTGTGGTATCGGTAAAACCAATTTATTTTGTAAACGGAAGGTTATGTGGTCGTTGCATAATAGATGTTACAACAATGACGGCAAGCGGGTTTTCATTATATTTTACTAAAATTCCTTCTGCTTCATAAACCTCAATTTTTGTTTCATTTTCTAGAAAAAAATCGAAAAGGTCAGTACTTTTAGAGACTTTTGTCGAGACTCTCTTTACCTCCAAAACTCCAGTTCCATCGCGAGGTCCCAATTTTTTAGTTCTCCATATGTTATGCCAATGCTGCACTGTACGATATTTTGGATTAATTTCTGAATTTGCTGCAAGTTTACTGTCAAAGCCAATTTCAAATTCTAATTCGGACTCATGATAGACTAGAGACTCTTTAATTCCCATTCCATTATCAAAATAAGAAAATATTTTTTTTGGTATCATAAGATGGACGAAGGTACGAAAGCCTTTCAGCTGATTCCTAATAATTATGATTATGCTCGCCAATTATACTTATAATACCTGGCAAACCGTACTTAAATAAATATGTTCTGATGATTTCCCATTATGTATGGAATATAGTATATTTTTCGTTTATATAAATTTTTATTAATTACTATTAAACTGGGAATAAGCCACAATTAAAGATAAAAATACGTTTATTGATGTTTCAATTTCCACTTCGGAAATCGTTGTCAAAAAACAAACAGTAAATTAAACAAATTTTGTTTAATTTACTGTTTGTATTTTGAGAACGATTTACGAAGTGGAAATTGAAACGTCAATAAACGTATTTTTATCTTTAATTGTGGCTTATTCCCAATTTAATAGTAATTAATTTACAATTCCACAAGAAAATAGCTTCAGAACAATATAAATTTTTATATAAAAGTTATTTAACAGTTGTTTTTATTACAAAAACAAATGAGTCACGCAAAACAATTAAATTTTTTTAAATAGCAATGTACTCTTCTATTAAGTATTAAACATGGCGAAGGACATTGAATTTCGCATAAATATTACTTTTTAAAGATTTAAATTTTTTTATAATTTATTGCTCGGTCTTGGGTGCTCGATCTATTTAACATCTGTCGCTCTACCTACCAGATTCCAAAACGGTGGCGCAAATCAAAAGTTCAACCCTTCTGAAACCTGGCAAAGACCCTGAACTACCGAGTAGCTACCGTCCGATATCTCTGCTATGCCATTTGTATAAATTGCATGAACGCCTCATTTTGAACCGCATCCAGGAAACATTACATGTAAAACTAATCCCACAACAAGCAGGCTTTAGACCAGGTAAATCATGCACAGGCCAAGTGCTGAACCTAACAGAATACATAGAGGAGGGATTTGAGCAGAAAGAGATAGTAGGAGTAGTCTTGATAGACCTCACAGAGGCCTATGATACGATAAACCCCATAACCTTGCTAACTAAGATCTACAACACTGTGCTTGACTATGACCTGGTAAATATCATTAGATCACTGTTGTGTAATAGACGATTCTACGTTGTGGTAAATGGAAAGAAGAGTAGATGGAGAACCCAAAAAAATGGCCTACCTCAAGGAAGCGTTCTGGCGCCGTCCTTATTTAACATCTACACCAACGACCAACCAATGCACCCTCAGACTGAGAGTTTTGTTTACGCTGACGACCTTGGTATAGCCGTAAAGGGAAAAACACTCACACAAGTAGAGTCGACAATGGAAGATGCTTTAAACATAATGTCAACTTACTACAAACAAGACTCATTAAAGCCAAACCCTACTAAAACCCAAGTATGTGCATTCCATCTCAACAACCAATTGGCGTATGTAAAACTGAATGTTTCTTGGGAGGGACAACGCTTGAAACATACTGATAGGCCCAAATATCTTGGAGTGATACTAGACTGGTCACTAACGTATAAATTCCACTGTCAGAGCACAAGACAAAAGGTCTCTACGAGATACCACCTTCTCCGGAAACTTGTAGGGAGCAAGTGGGGTGCAAACCTCCAGGTCTTGAAGTCAACAACTGAGGCCTTATGTTTCTCAACAGGGGAATATGCTTGTCCCGTCTAGGGTAGATCTAGACATGCCCAACAAGTCACCACGGCGTTAAATGAAACATGTAGAATCATTACCGGTTGTATGAAGCCTACCTCTCTACACCTACTGTACCGGGTAGCTGTATTCGCATCACCAGACGACCGTAGATGTGCCTCACAATATGTGGAGAAGTTCAGGCAAACTTTAGATGAACGGCACCAATCATACGGGTTTGACGAACCGCCAGGAATCAGCCGACTTAAATCAAGGAAAAGGTTTATGAGAAATGTCAGCGTCGAACTACCCGAAGTGTTCCCCCTACATACAGAACGACCTAATGGAATGAACCTGGACTGGAGAACCTGGTGAACACTAAACCGCATGCGCACAGGTGTTGCCCCTGTAAAACAGAACCTCATTAAATGGGGCATCAAGACAGATAGCGAGGCACTCTGTGAATGTGGGGAAATACAGAACGTGGAGCACCTGAGAGTATGCAGACTTTGCCCATCACAGTGCACCCTCGATGATTTATGGCTCGCAAATACAAAGGCTGTAGACGTAGCTCGATATTGGGCAGAAAAACTGTAGTCGGATCCAGACTCGAAAAAGTAAAGTAAGTTTATAATTTATTTAAATATATTCTATTTTATTTCCTATTGCATTGTTTTAGTTTTCTTTAGTCATACATTAAAAATGTTTTAAAATTAGTCTCCTTTTAAGTGATTTTAATAGAATGTCGTCTTTTTTGGTCTACGGATATTTAACATTCCGCATATGAATTTGGCACCAAAGTAACATTTCATATTCCATATACTTGTTTGGACGCCTATTGGTTGAAACATGGGAGCATGCCGCAAAGGACCAATGGAAAAGTCATAGATGCTAAACACATATACGGAATGTTTAGATGCCAAACGCCTACTAGTTTAAAGTGCGTAATGAAAACGTACTCTACTGAGCTAGACAAATAATCTCAAACTTCACTCTACCCCTTTAGAGGTACATTTCAATAAAATTCTTATAGAACGTTTGATGACAAAGATTTGGAGGCAATTAAAATAGATAAAAAGGAACATGAAACCCCAGAAACATACATCGTATTAAACTTTTTGTAATTATATCTCTGTTTAGTGGACGGTAGCTATCATGTTAGGGTAATGAAAATCTTTAACGTTTTTAAATAGAAGTCTTTGACGTCTAGCGGTGATGGAAGTCTCTAAGTGGGCGATCCTACTGCTGTTTGACGTCCGAAATGCTTTCAATACCTTAAATGGAAAGAGGTAATGAAGGATTTACAAGACAGAATGTGTTCAGGTTACTTAATGAATGTGGTCTCGGACTATCTGTCAGAGAGGAAACTTGTGGTAAAAATAGAAGTGGTGGTTGACGTGATGGCTAAACTACTACAGTAAGAGTAAAAAAAAACAAAGCTATTATGTCAAATATTGTATATTAACTGCTACCCGAACAAGAGATTGTTGGTTTGTATATACAACTGTTAAATGTTCCTCTTTCGAATATTTCTTCTTGCATCACTAGATTTAACAATCTGTACTTTTTCTAATGTCTCATTAGATGCGTTTTAATGATTTTTTACGATTTCTTTATTCTAATTAACACGGTTTACTTACGTATGCTCTCCATCCAACTAATACACAATATTCTTCTCTTACACTTTTTGTTTTTTATGCACGGACTCAATTGTGATCCATGCTTTTACTCCTTAGTACAGCACGGAAAACCCAGAATATTCTGATCTTTAATTCCGGATGAATATCATATAATTATTACAAAGAATTATCTTGTGCCTAAAGAGAAAGATATTCTTACTTGTACAATGCGACAATGAATTTCTAAAGACTTAATGCGTTTCATAATAAGATGAGGATGAGGATGCTGTGCCTCATAACAAGATGTTTATCCACATCCCGGTTT